TACGTGACTTTACCGAAAAAACCCCAAGAGTGTGAATCCTTGCAGTCACGAAAGCTTCAAGTCTAGAATTATCCCTCCGCTTCTTTCAACACGTCTGACCCACGTGGAAGAGTAGGCCAAACACCCTCTGCAGGGGCTCTCGAGAGGTTCCCCCCCTCGTTCGTGTAGCTCCTACCGCCAGGAAATGGCAGGAGCGATACGCTGCAGGACTGAGCTTTCACGCGACGACTAATGAGGTAGAGAGACATCTGACGAAAGACACAATGTCCGAATCGGTGGGACTAACCCATCACAGCAGACGGGCATGAAGGTGTTCGTTTAAGCCCTAAGTCATCGCTCTTGGGCGGATGAAATGGAACTGGCGAAACAGCAGAGTATATGTTTTAAATTACGATTCGAGATGTCAACGTCCCAATGGCGGTGATGTTATATTCGGCGAAAGGTGCAATGGTTGTTAGCGAGCGCCTGTTAAATCAGGTAGGTACAAATTTAACTGTCGTGATTCAGGTTCACAGTTAAATTTGCGAATCGATTCCTCTCAATATCATGGCGAAACTTAGGGGCTTGTAACATTACATGAACCCATTACGTGCAACACGTATATATACGAATGGGAAACATCAATTCCGACACAGTCGACATTAGAGTCGACGTTAATTGATGAATTGAGGCAACAATACAGGCCTACTTATTAACGCTGACACGGTGCATGAGAGGGCAGGGCATGTTTGCATGCAAACCATCAATCAATCACTCCTGTACACATTCAGGACAGAGCCACATGGCATGTCATATCTATATATAGAGGTCCAAAAAGTACAAACTAGTCATTGGTGATGATGCTGCGTTGGCAGTGGTGCTCAAGCACAGTCAACGACCCCCCCGCCCCACCCCCCCTCACATTCGTCAATAACACTGCCTTAAAAGGACGTTTCAAGCAATGGACCTTCTTCATGAAAGAAAAAATACGCAATTAAGGCAAACTTTCGCATGGAGCGCCATTTCCCAAAATGTCGCCTATTATTTATTTTTCCTTTTAAGGCCTCAGTTTTATTTGCCAAATGTGTTGAATGTTATAAATATATAGTTTAAACGCCTATATACACACAGTTTGGTATATGTATGTATGCATGCTGAACTTCTTTCGCACCGTACGAAGCCAAACATGCCTATACACAGTGCAGCATATACTCTGTATGCTAGATACACGAGCCAGAGGGCACACCAGTGAGGTCTTGGTTTTCACGTTGTGGGTCTCATTATGTGCCACACAAGTGTCAAACCTGCAATGGTGGCACAACAATGGCCACAAGAGGACAACGTCAGTTGGGATCGCTGGCAGGCACGGCTAACCTCGATAGCGGACGCTGTTGTCAAAATGGACATTGGCGCTTTGAAATGGATGAGCCGGTCTTCCAAGAGTGCAAATGAAAGGGCCACCCTCTCCGTACCAGGTGTGTGTGTGTGCGCGCATCTGCAAGTCTGTCGCCTCGCGGGCTTTTGTCCTTTCCCCCGCACCTCCGATTACCACGGTTGGCTACGTACGGTGCGAAAGGAGTCTCACGTGCATTACGTACAAAGTCGCCTTACAAATTCCGGCAGAAGCAAAGCAAAAAAAACCCTCACTAATTTGGGAATGTATATACTGTAGGTACGTGGCGTGGGTGTCCTGTAGGTAAACTCAGGCCGAAGTTTGGATCTGTTTCGTCGGCGCACGATGGCACCTCGGCTGCCTCGTTTTGGTTCTATGGCCGCTACTTTCTCAGGTGCTGTCTGGGCATCATGATGGACATGGTCCTGCCGTAGCTAATTTGCCCGCTTGTTGTTTGTGGTTTTACGACCCTGCAGGCCGCCCTGGTTAATACTGCGAGCGTATGAAACGTACACATGCATGCACCGTCTGCTTCACATTGGATATTAGAGATCCTGTGACGTGGTTCGTAAAAAAAAAACGAGTAGGGCCCACTTGCGTGTTGGCATCATGGTCCTGCTTGGTCGAATTTGAAAAGCTGTCCGCAAACGACTCGCCTGCGATCGTACACAGAAATCATCGACCCCCTCCCCCTAGTGCAGGCTGGGTGCTGCTGTGCATTGTTGCACCAAACAGGCACAGCTCCCGTCGGGGTTTTTGATTCGTCATTAAACTCACAACGAATACCGATGAAATTCCCTGCATGGTGCCTTTTCAGTCCACAGGTTGACATAGCACTTACTCATTATGAAGTAGCTGCACATGCCCATTTCAAAAAGGGGTTCAACACCTGTGTAATGTTGGTGCACACAAAGGCCCCCCCCCCCCCCCGTAGAGCCTGTAACAGGCTGTTGCGGCAAGCGCTGTTAGTGAGCACCCATGAAGGTCGGCACGGCTAACACCATGCCTGGCCGCCTTTGTCTCCCCAATTCAATTATTCGTCACTAATATTGGTGGTATAAGCGGGAATCGAACTCGCATCTCAGGGTTTGTTGTGCTCCCCATAATTGTGGCGCACACAATTTAGCACAAATTATATGTAAATGAATTTTGAAAGATGCTTACATTTTTCTCAAGTTAATATTCATATTCACGTTAAATATGAAATGATTCGGTCCTGTAGTGGGAGTTTGTTTGTCGTCGCAAAAAATTAAATGCAAAATCCATTCACGAGACGTTTTTTTATTACTATCGTGGGAATGTGAAATAGTGTCGCAGCCTGCATTTATTTGAACGGACTATTTTGGAAACATTTCAGAATGAATTACACTCGTTCATAAAAGCCTGTCTTCGCCAGGCAAAAGTTTTAAGTGAATATAATAATTAACCTAATATATATTTTTTTACAATTTTTATCTATGATCAGACACTCACAATTACTCAAAAAATGTTTTCGCAAATATGTTTTCGTTAAAGACTTGATTCACCTTCTTATATTTAAAAAAAGACGTACCCATTGGAAACCGCTCAATTTAAACATTCCGTTCTTTTTTTATTAGATAGAACAACCATTAATGAACTTAATACTCTACAAGGGGAAGCGCCTATCTTTTACCGTTTACTAATTATTCAGATTTGAACATCAAAATATGCGTATTGTTTTTCATTGAAACCCGTTTTCACCCGAAATATCTCAAAAACAATAAAAGATGGAACAATGGTTCTTGCTTTAATTTTATTTGCTGGTTAGCGCTCTATCAAACGAAAAAAACCCACAATCTTATATTTTTAACGGTTTCTGAATAGCACCACGCACAAACATGTTTATGGGGTGCTTAAAATCGAGATTTGGGAGCCTTAAAATGAAAAATCTCGTATTTTCATATTGTTCACGTTGTCTGTGTCCTAAAAGCTACATATGTAGCTAATTTGAGCTTTCTACCTTGTCGGGAAATAACATGGAGGTTAAGGTATTTATTTATATAGACAGATTTGCACCACAATGAAAGTATAGAACCAACCACTCTGCCCCCTCCCCCGCCCAAATATATAGACAGTAATTCAATGAGGTTTTATAAACATCCATTCACTACTTTACAAAATATGTATTTTCTCCAAATGTAATCAGGTGTCCGTGTGGAATGGAACACATATATATAATTAACAATAATATACCCACCCATTTTCCTCTGCACACTCAGTCGGTCATGGGGGTTTTTATTGGCACCATACTCCGCGTACTTCACACCGCCTCAACGCACGTACATACTTCACCACTCTGGTCAATGGAGGCTGGCGAAGGGAGGGCTCAGAACTGGTGCAGATGTCACTCACCCGCTGATGTCAGCTGTGGCCGGGGATGAATCTCGGGGGGGTCAGCACTCCTCCCCCAAATAATTGATTCGTGTGGAATGGTGCCTTGGTAAGTTAGGCTCACAAGACTCGCAATCCAGTTCGGTTCCCCGGCACGGCAGTTGCAACGGATCGGCAAGTAATTTATAATTCTCTCCCTGCCCCTGTCCCACGCTCTCATTCACCATTCTCTTTTCAATGACAGCCCAAGCAGAAAGTCTCCTTCAGAAGGCATTACATGTTCAAATGGGTCACCGATCCTTTCTTGAACCCAACACGCTGGCTACTGGGCTCACGTAATGTTATCCTTACGGAACTGTAGGATATCTGCTTCGCGATTAGATGCAGCATAACGTTACCTCGCGTTGAAATAACAGCATGCGTCCCCGTATGCAATCAACAGCGTGCGTCCATAAAGCAGTTGTGAAACTCGACTTCTCGCTGTGACTGGGGGTTATGAATAAGCAAGCAAAGCTTTTTTATAAGCAGATAAAGAGTGGAAAATAATAAAATCACCACTTGGTCGGTAACCAGCTGTGCTAAATGTATACGCGATGCATTAATGATATACTCGCATGCGAAATATTTCAATGTAACAGTGTCGTCAATGGTTTTACTTAAAATGTGAAAATGATTGTACGTCTGTCGATCGGTAAAACGCTGAATAAAAAAAAAAGGCCAGAAAACGACACTAACCACCACAAAATTAGCACGCACATCGAATATAAATCCTGGATCACCTCTGCAGCGACCCTTGGCTGTACTGTATTTACAGCCTTTATTTCAAATATTCAGCGGAAAACAAAGTGCTCAATACCCTTCCCCACGCGTTGTTAACCCTTTCCCATTTTTTCTGCCGATTCCGTAAGAACAACGAAAACAACAGAGCTTTTGCGGTACAGAGGCTCACCACAAGGCCGTGCAGGGAGGGCGTGGCAATTAAGTCACCAGCCATCGTAGAGCGCGGCGGTCGCGTCGCTACAGTTCTCTGCGGCGAGCGACAATGTCTTCAGAAACGACGGCGCCTGCACGCCTCTCGAAATTAAATTAACGCCGAAAGCGTTCGCGCGTTCTGAGATTCAGCGGTGAACGAGAGCCACCCCACCCTGCAACTTGCAGTCGTCTCGGAACGCGTTAACGGACGCTAGAGTATCGGTTGAATTGACCCCTTCGCCGAAGCCTTAATTATTCGCGTTCTGCTGAGTGACGCCCTCCCGATGCGGCTACCACCCCCCACCTTGCATGCCGGCGGTGTTCCCGTTGCAGTTGACGGTCGGCTTGCTGTTCTCCTGCACATCGATCCTGGACATGCCGGCCGAGTTGATGTCCATGTTGGCAGCCGGCAGCAGCAGCAGCAGCGGCAGCGGCGACTCCACGAGCGAGGTCAGAGGTCGCTCTCTCGGCGTTGCTCAGATGGCCTCGCGAGGGCTCAACAAGGGACTTGGATTCTCCATGGAACTTACCTATTAACGAATACACACACACACACACAAAGAACCACCCCACCCCCTCTCAGTTAAACCTCGCACGCTCTCGAGAAGAGTGGGCGTTAGCGAGTGCACATTAAGGCCGGCCACGGCACAAAGAAGCAATGGCATGGCTGCCACCACGCACAGTTCGCTTCTTCATTTTCAATTTTGCCCCCCCCCCCAACCCTACCCAAAATGCAAAGATCTTCTACGAGCGCAACGAGCAACTAAAATTGCCTTTGCAAATACTCGCACATTTAGAGTATTTGGGCTGCTGTAAATTAGCACGTGATAAGCCACTACATTTTGAGCACATCATTCGTGATGGCCAGGTCGCTTCTGAAAAAAGAGTGATGTAGTTCAGAGGGGCCTTACCTGGTTAAAAAAAAAAAAAAATTGTTTAGTTTAAAAAAAAAAAGTCACCGCGTGAAACCAGCCGGTCAATTGCCTATCATTCATTCGGCGTTGTGTGGGTAATAAACCGATCCACGTGACAGCGCCCTCGGTCGCCACGTCTAGCCATTGCAGCCCTCCGCTGAACTGGGCCAGCGGGCGGTCACCAACGGCATGGACGTTGTTTGTACAGTGCCGCAGATGCAGCGTGGGCCGTCATGAAGACCCCCAACGGTGGAGGCTGGCCACACAGAGTCCTTGCCCTGCATCCGGAATCCGTTCAGTAAGGCCCACCGCCGACGTGAAGCCAGGTCGGCCAGACTAGAGGATCCGCGATAAGAACAGGCCAACTGCCGTGTAAAACATATACGTGTATATATATATGTATCAATGTTGAACGTCTGTCGCACCGCACTTAGCCAACCGTGATAATTGGAGGTTCGGGGGGAAGGACAACAAAATGCACAAAAAGCAGTTCTAAAGAAATGAGTTTTCAAACTAGATTTGAAAGTGCATAGCTACAGTGGCTTCTGAATATCGGAAGGAAGAGCGTTCCAGATGGCCACAGAAGAGCATCTGAACGTGCGCGATGTGGTGACCGTATTTGTTCGAAGGTTAGCCAAAAGCCTGGAGTTCCCGTGATGGTTTATGCTCTTTGACGAGATTAACAAGGTATCCTTGTACATTTGTGGCAAGCAAACATACGTTAAAACTACAAACCGCGAAACATTAAACCCACCAAATGCAGAGGACAACCTGTGTACAGCCATAACCAGAGCATTTCTTTATAGACTCCCTGAAGAAATAAGTGCAGCATTCCGGTCCGACATTCAGAACATCTGTCAGTGGACATAATATTGGAGTGCGAGCGTATTTTAGTGATAAAATGGTCACAAAAGAGATAAAGTGGCAACATTAAGCAGTTGTTAAATTGCACGTATATGCAACTGTCAGCAGAGCCAGCACTTTGTAAATTATGTCACGTGAGAAAGAGGCTTAATAACAGAGACGCCTTACATCAGGCAGTCATTGAGAACAGCGAACAATTTATACAAGCGGCAGGAGCAATGGCTCAAGTATGTATGGCGGTAAATCTGGAGACCATGATTAGCATAAGGCACATGGGAAACGCTAAAAACGCTTAAGCAGCATTCTCTTTCATGTCCAAGTGAACCATGCTGTTGAACTTATGATATACATTTACATAAAACAATCTCAAATAATTAAATAACGATAATAATGTAATGCAATTGGTATTGGCGGCGTTCGTTCGTTCGTATCGTGCAAGGCATTCAAAAAAGGTGCCACACGTTTCACGGACATAACTAAGTCACGACCAATTCTTCAGGTCGCCGAGGCGGTGAATCGTGAGACCTCGCATCGTGGATAAATGGCGCGGCAACGCGAACCGGGGCAACCCGTGTTCGATTCCCGGAAACGGCAAACGTTGGCGGCAAACGATATCTGGACTTCGCCGATGCACACTGACCAACGTGGCGAGGTATGGTCAAATAACTCCCACGATGGATGCAACATGGGGAGGGGCCTCCATCCACCTATGGGCTCTTAAAGAACATCATCATATTATTTTTACGTACTGTAAACTGGTGAGGTGACTCAGCAGTAGAGTGACTGGGATAGCAATCAGAAGGATAATGTCTTTTTGGGGTTAAGACAATAATCCGGCCAAATTTGTGTTCGTAAGACCCTCTGCCACCTGACAGCCAATAAAGCTGTTAACGTACCAATTTTTTAAAAAAATGTTTCTATTATATTTCAATAAGAGCCCGGTACAGAGCAAAAACCGTGATGCAGGTCGGGCATACAGGGAGGGAAAAAGTATTTGATCCCCTGCTGATTTTGTACGTTTGCCTACTGACAAAGAAACGATCAGTCTATAATTTTAATGGTTTATTTGAACAGTGAGAGACAGAATAACAACAAAAAAATCCAGAAAACGCATGTCAAAAAAAGACACCTGTCCACAGCAGCAATCAATCAATCAGATTCCAAACTCTCCACCATGGCCAAGACCAAAGAGCTCTCCAAGGATGTCATGGACAAGATTGTAGACCTACACAAGGCTGGAATGGGCTACAAGACCATTGCCAAGCAGCTTGGTGAGAAGGTGACAACAGTTGGTGCGATTATTCGCAAATGGAAGAATCACAAAAGAACTGTCAATCTCCCTCTGCCTGGGGCTCTATGCAAGATATCACCTCGTGGAGTTGCAATGATCATGAGAACGGTGAGGAATCAGCCCAGAACTACACGGGAGGATCTTGTCAATGATCTCAAAGCAGCTGGGACCATAGTCACCAAGAAAACAATTGGTAACACACTACGCCATGAAGGACTGAAATCCTGCAGCACCCGCAAGGTCCCCCTGCTCAAGAAAGCACATATACATGCCCGTCTGAAGTTTGCCAATGAACATCTGAATAATTCAAAGGACAACTGCGTGAAAATGTTGTGGTCAGATGAGATCAAAATGGAGCTCTTTGGCATCAACTCAACTCGCCATGTTTGGAGGAGGAGGAATGCTGCCTATGACCACAAGAACACCATCCCCACCGTCAAACATGGAGGTGGAAACATTATGCTTTGGGGGTGTTTTTCTGCTAAGGGAACAGGACAACTTCACCGCATCAAAGGGACGATAGACGGGGCCATGTACCGTCAAATCTTGGGTGAGAACCTCCTTCCCTCAGCCAGGGCATTGAAAATGGGTCGTGGATGGGTATTCCAGCATGACAATGACCCAAAACACACGGCCAAGGCAACAAAGGAGTGGCTCAAGAAGAAGCACATTAAGATCCTTGGGTGGCCTAGCCAGTCTCCAGACCTTAATCCCATAGAAAATCTGTGGAGGGAGCTGAAGGTTCGAGTTTCCAAACGTCAGCCTCGAAACCTTAATGACATGGAAAAGATCTGCAAAGAGGAGTGGGACAAAATCCCTCCTGAGATGTGTGCAAACCTGGTGGCCAACTACAAGAAACGTCTGACCTCTGTGATTGCCAACAAGGGTTTTGCCACCAAGTACTAAGTCATGTTTTGCAGAGGGGTCAAATGCTTATTTCCCTCATAAAAATGCAAATCAATTTATAACATTTTTGACATGCGTTTTTCTGTTGTTATTCTGTCTCTCACTGTTCAAATAAACCTACCATTAATATTATAGACTGATCATTTCTTTGTCAGTGGGCAAACGTACAAAATCAGCAGGGGATCAAATACTTTTTTTCCCTCACTGTAATACCTCCCAAATTATTTCTTATTGTTCTGACTCCGTGGATTTTCATCTGGTTTCATGGATCTTCTCCCAATGACACTTGATGGATTTCGTATCAAGCGAAACATCGTATCCAACTGGCGCATTTGGTTGTGAGAGTTGTTATTCAACTCACCATTAAGCTCTGCACAATAATAACTGGCACCTTAAACGCTTGCGCACGCGTAAACATTGAATTTGCTTGGTCAAGTTGGATGGCGGAGGGCCCTTAATGACACAAACTGTGGCCAGGTGCGCAAAACTCAAACAAATTGTGCACTTCGATTGGCGGTCGACGTTCCAAGTGTTGGACTGCGACCCTCAAAGGGAGAGCGGCCGCCTCCCTTGGTCACCAAACCCGCTCCCTCCCCCCTGCCCCGTGATCCGCTAAATCGAACAAATCACTCGAGACACGCCGGCGCATGCCAGAACACAGCAGTCCATGCGAACGCTGTCCGCAAGAGGTCACATTTGGCACAGCAAAGCTACTTCCAAATATGCGACGAGTGAACAAATTAATTACGTGGCCTAACCGAAAAAAAAGGTCTACGTCAGAGAACAATGTTTGGCTTCGAAAAAACCTGCACGTTAATTGAACCCGGAAGGTTGCAACCTAAAATCCTGAATGGGGGGGGGGGGGGGGGGGCCCTGGCTGAGCCCATCATCCCTCCAGGGTCAATAAATAGATTACCACTTTGTGACGAAGTCAAGAGCAGGTTGGGCCTATTATAGAGACTCCCCTGCACCATATGAATTTGCAATTTTCCGCCACTGGCTCAAGGCTGGAAACAAAAGATAAGCTCGGTCTCAAATAGCCCATTTGTGCAAGAAATCACTGACTCTTTATAACACGGTACTGTACTCTACTCGATATACATGCGAAACGTACGTACATATGCCATCACTCACCCGCAAGGTTTAGGGGGAACACTTTTACCCCCGGGAGAATTCCCTCCCGCGTGACAAGCTCTCCTGCATGCGATGCAGGTAGAAACTAATTATAACCCTCACTCAGTGTCAACACTTGCAAATGCTGCTTCATTATCTGGCCTGCAGAGCCGTCAATTTAGATGGCAAACCGCTCGTTGCCACGGGGGCCGCCCACAGGGAATTTTCAAGCCCAACAAGATTTCAGCTTCATCAGCAGGACTCAAAACATGGACAGGGATTGCTGAACGTATATCGGTCACAGAAAATCGTTTTTTTTGTGTCGACACATTTGCCTCTGCTGCTTGCCTTTTTTTTTATTCATTAAGGGAACAAACGGCAAATTAGTGTGCACGTGTTGCACCGCTTTCACCAAAACGGATAAAGCACATCTTGCCGCATT